TGTAGCTCTGACTTAAAAGAAAAAAATCTCAGCAGAAGTCTGTCAGGATGTCTGAGTGAATTTTGGCTCTCTTGCTACTGGTACCTGCCTGTCCTCCTTCCTCCTGCTTGGAACTTAAGTGTGAGTCTGGAGGGGAAGCCATCATATTGCAACCATGAGGATGAAAGCTGTATGCTATGGACGGGAGAGCAAAAATATGAAGCTAAGGACGCTGCTGCCCAGTGGAGCCCCCGCCCAGCCCAGGATGGTCTATTGCCAGACTGCTTGTCGCCAGTCTGGCGATAAGACCATCTTGCTTATCATCTGAGGAAAAGATAAATCCTTCAGTGGCCAAGCTACTATATTTGGGGTTTATGTTACATAGAGCTGAACATCATCCTTAACTTACCTTATAGCCAGATGGCTGGTAAGAACCATTAATGGGGGGGAGATAATTTCCCCCCAACTAAGCAAAGACTACGCCAATGTTGTTTCTACATTTGGTATGGAGTTCCTAACAACAAAATGTATCAGTGGGATAACTGTACATTTTATCTCTATCCATACATGTTGCTGGTTTTCTAGGGACGGACATTAATGTAACCATTCTCACGTGGTTTCAAGAGATCGTGTCCGTCAGCACTTTATTTCTGGCACAGTTAGGATACATGGTTGATAAGCTTCCAGTGCCAGGCACTTGTCTTAAAGACATTCGAAAGACGAAACTATCCCTGTCCTCCTTTCCTTCAAAGGCATTGCTTTAGTATGACGTTATCATGCAAATAAACCACACTCGTTAGGCATTTGCCGTACTGATCAATGTTTTGAATATTTAGCAAGTCAATTTACCTGATCATCAGAAAAATTATTCAGAGTGATTCCTCTTACAAATATTTAACAAAATCAAGGCTCCATTTTAAGTATTTTATGGAAATGAAGCACAGAGGGGTTAGGAAGCATTGCAGGGGGAGGAGCTAGGATTTGCCATCTGGCTCTCTGACCCAGTGCCTTCAGAACATGACTCATGCGCTGTATTCTTAACTGCTGTCTAAAGTGACATGGAATCAAATCTGGCCAACAGGGTATGGAACTATTCAGTAAGTACGCATGCAAGTGTGTGCATGGGGGCGGTGCGCGAGACAGAGAGAGAAAGAGAGAGGAAGCGAGGGAGAGAGAACAAGAAATGAGAATGGATGGTAAGAAGTTTTGTTTGGGGGGACGGAGGGAGGAAATCATAAAAAGGGAAATTTTCTTTTAAATATCACTTATTAAATGCAAAATGAAAACATCATGTTTTCATGATGTGCATAGTCTCAGGATGTTAGAAATTGAAAACTGGTGGTCAAACACAGGCTGAATTTTCAAAACTAAAAAGAAATCTGAATAAAGTTATCGTTCGATACAGTAAATTCCTAGGCTGGACATCTCTTCTCTCATTTAAGGGAGAAAATTAGATACCCACACGACACAGAAAATGAGACCTTATGCAAAAAGAATGGTGCAAAAAAATGTACCTCCTGTCTAAAAGTAATGAATCTTTCTGTTTGCTTTTAGGATTTTATTTATTTATTTATTTATTTGACAGAGAGAGAGAGAAGGAGAACAAGCAGTGGGAGCGGCAGAGGGAGAGGGAGAAGCAGGCTTCCAGCTGAGCAGGGAGCCCACACTGGGCTCAATCCCAGGATCCAGGGATCATAACTTGAGCTGAATACAGATGCTTAACTGACTGAGCCACCCAGGTGCCCCCAAAATAATGTATCTTTCAATGAAGAGGAATTATTATGAGATACATATTAGCATCCTACTAATGTATCTAACATAATATGGGCATTTTTTCCCTGTAATTCAATTTATGATAGATTTAATAAGATTGTTACATGGAATGAGAATTAAATAAGAAGTAGAAACAGTATGATATACAACAAGCATTATTCTTTATTTCTTTTATTAAATAATAATATAAAAGGCTGTATTATAGGGCATAAGGAAAAACCTGCCTTTATATTTTATTTTTTTAAAGGGAAGTAAATGGTGAATTACCTGAACCAGATAGATTCAGCACTTCAAACTGAAACGATGTTATAGAAATAATTTTTAAACCTCAGCTTTTGATCTCTGTTTGAATTGTTTTGGACTATTGCATCATGTTATTTCTGGCTGAGATTTTTTTGAGACTATGAAAATGCAGGATTAGTCCTGGATAACACCAAGTACAATCAAGTAACCACGAGGTAGGACTGGAAGAAGAGGGAGTGGCTGTTGGCTAGCCAAGGTCAATACCGGAAAGTCCCGAGGACATCTTGAGTGCTAAGCTAGAAAAGTGGAGCATGGAGTCATTGCAGGTAGTTTCCAGAGAAACTGAAATGTCTCTTAGCAGATTGAAAATACACGTATCTGCTTTTGCCATTCCGTATCTTAAATATTCTCTCTTACTTGACCCGCTGTAGAGTTGTTGAGTCATTTCTGTGAAATATACCAGAATCATTGACATATAAAAAGTCACCAATCATGTTCTTCACTCGTTCCTAATTAGAAAACTACGAATGGGATAGAAACATCAACAAGATAAAAAAAAAATCTACATTAGTTCTATAGCTAATACCGTACTTAATGGTGAAACAATGGCAAGGGGGCCCAAGAATCACCAGAACACACCAGACCCTGCTCCCTGTTACTACTGGTAAACTTGGGTTTAAGTTTCTGGCTGATGCAGTAAGACAATTCTGAGAAATAGAAGACATGCCTAAAGAGAAGAGAAAAATTATCATGTGTGTGTTGATTGTTTTAGGCTTAGAACTAAAGGGACTTAGCTAAAAATTCTTTTTTTTTTAAAGATGCTATTTATTTATTTTGAGAGAGTGAAAGAGAGAGAGAGAGAGCAAGAGAGCACACATGAGGGGCGGAGGCTCAGAGGGAGAGGAAGGGAATCCCAAGCAGATGCGGGGCTCAATCTCAGGACCCTGAGATCATGACCTGAGCAGAAATCAATAGTAGGAATCTTAACTGACTGAGTCATCCAGGCACCCCTAAAATTCTTAAAATAAGGAAGACAATTCAGCATAGTGGTGAAGTATGAGATAAATATCCAAAATAAATTTTCTTTATGTGAGTAATAACCAGTTAGAAAATTCCATTCATGATAGTAACCTACAACATGAAATAGCTAGGGGAAAAAACTAGCAAAAAGTGTGACTTTTATGAAGTAAACCACAGAAGTAATTAAAAAGATATGAAAGAAGTGAAAGACATGCCATGTTTCTGAATGAGACTAAATATTCAAGATAAATTACTTACCAATAAATATGTATAAATATTTTTAGCTTATCAGAAATGATTTTAATATTAAACTAGGCCATAAAAGTAGAGATATAACAATGGGTTATAAAATCCTGAAAAAGGGAATATTGAAGTCACACTCACACTACCATATAATAAAATGTAATATAGAATTCTGGTGATTAAAACCATATGATATTGGCAAAGAAGTGACAGATAAATGAAACAAAATGGATAACTTTAGAACAGACTAGTATATAGAAGAACATATTCCACAATAAAGGAAATGTCATAAGCCAATGGGGAAGGCTTTTTCATCTGACAAATAAGATGGAAAACACTAATAAACTTCAGAGAAAAGCAAGATCCTCAGAGAAGAAACAGACATGGTGAATACACATATAAAGAGATGTTTAATCTCGCCAGTAATTCAGGAGATGTAAATTGAGGCCACATTGATTTACCTTTCAATACTCCTTAGATTGGCAAAAACTAGCAAAACATACCAAATATTGGAGAAATGTAGAGCAAGGCAAAATCATGAACCTTGCCGCTGAGAATATAAATCAGAATAGTCCCATCGAAATTTGCATTATCCTTTACATTTAATGGTTACATCCCCTACAACCTAGAGTTTTGAATCCTAGATACACACTTCACTGAAATTGTTCCATATGTGCTTAAGGGGATTTGTGTGAAAATGTTTTAGAAGCATTGTTCATATATGCAATGAACAAGCAAAACAACATACTCATTGATGACAGAATAAAAAATACATTGTGGCATCTTCATACAATGAAGTAGTATACACCAGTGAAAATAAATGGGTAAAATTATAAAAGAAAACTGTTGAGAAAAAAAGCAGTCACAGAATACTACATACAGTATGATACTATTTTTATAAAATCCCAAACCAGCAAAAAAAATTTTTTTAAGATTTTATTTATTTATTTGACACACACACACAGAGAGAGAGAGAGCACATGAGAGTGCACAAGGAGGAGGAGGGGCAGAGGGAGAAGCAGGCTTCCCACTGAGCAGGGAGCCTGATGTGGGGCTCCATCCCAGGACCCTGGGATCATGACCTGAGCCAAAGGCAGACACTTAACTGACTGAGCCACCCAGGTGCCCCCCCCAAACCAGCAAAATTAAATGACAAATTACTTAGATCATTTGTGTGACAAAACTATTGTTTTAAGCAGGGTCGTGATAAATCCAACACACAGGAAGAGACAGGGTTTCTCCACGTTAGTCCCATTGACATCAGAAGTGGTAACTTGGTTGTCATTGATTGACCTATGCCTTGTTGGATGTTGAGCGACAGCCCAGGTCTCTACTCATTAGACGCAGGTTGTAAACCCCACCCCTCTTTCGAAAACCAAAAATGTGTCCAAAATTGCAGAAAGTCTCTTGAGAGATAAAATTGTTGCCAAATGGGAACCTCTGGATAAAGGTTACCCATAGATTTGGGACTAGGGAGCAAAGCAGGCAAATAGTAGGGGAGGAATCCAGGGGAAAGTGCCAAGTTAGCAATGACTCTTTGGTCCCTGGTTTGAGTTTATTTTCAGGGATGCATTTTATTACTACACCTCATGGCTTACATGCTTTTTAAATATCAGATAGTACATACTTATGTTTAACATTAACTGTATATGACAATCTATAGTAAAAATACCAGAATAGAATATCTCAAAATTAGCAATATACATTCTTAGAGACAAAGGTCATCAACAGTTTCTAATTGCTTCTCTGTATTGTCCATTTTCAAAAGAAAAAAAAAGAACAGGCATTAGTTGTACAAAAAACGCTTGTAAAACCTCTACAAATGAGATGACAACACTCCTTGATAATCATGGTAGAAAATGACACAAGTAGAATCATTTCAGAACTCATGAAAAAGTTCATTCCTTATTTTGTCGCTTACATTTATTATACAATCTAATGTTGAGACAGCAGCATTTGATCTAGCCAGATAACAGGGTCTTCTTTGGGTTGTCCTGCATCTCGGAGAGTGCTTGTTGATCTAGTGTGCACCCAGCTTTATTTTCACAAAAGCTCATAAAAAAGGATATGAAATTATTTGCGACTTTGCTCTATTGGAAGCTGCTGGCTGGGTTAGTCCCAGGCCCGCGATAAACCCCGGGGTTTGTTTCATCTGTTCTCTATAGCAGCTGACGCACAGCGTGTTCTGCTCTCTGTATTTCTAATTTTTGTGAACCCTTTGATCAAAATCTGATGATGTAAAAAACAAAACAATAGGATCAGTGGCAGCGGCAGCTAAATGAGTTCAAGAAGTTTCAAGAATTGTCACAGTTGAGAAAATGATTCCTTTTCTTCAAATTCGATCCAAATTCTGGATGCTGAGGGAGAGAGAATTAGGTATTATTTTATTTATTCCTGGTAGAACATGCTCCCAGAGCCCCACGGATAAATATTTGATGTGAATTCCACCGAGTACATAATCCAAGGGTCACCTTAGGCAATATGCACTGAAACTTCTTCCTTCCTCACAGGGAAAGAGATGCTTTTCTTCCTCTGGTCGTGGGATACATAACTAGATATATTTACGGCCCAAGCATATGCCCCTGTTTCTATTTAACCTTCATTTTTTAAAGAAGCCGAAACAGTAGAAATCAGGGATTTGAAACAAACTCTTCTCTACAATCTAGAAGAACTTACCTAAACTCTCTGAGACTTGGTTTCCTTGGAGGAGAAATGAGAGTCACCAGTACACCAGCCTGTCTGACTTCAGAGGTAGTTAAGAGAATCGCTTAAGGTTGTGGAGGAAAGTGCTTCAGGAACTGTTTGTGTCTGCCGACCTATACCTGTATCTATGTGACTGCGGCTCTAGAGAGATGGAATGTGTAAGAATTAAATAGATGCGCTTATTATCGCCAGAATATTTCTATTCCAGGGAAAACCAGTCATTTTATTTGGGGGAAGAGGGAGGTCAAAAGGAGTAAGGGAAACAGTTGGTTTGCTTGTTTATTTTGTGAGTGGCCCCATTCTAAGAAGTTCACAGCCTCTCTCTCTTTTCCCAATGGTCAAGCATTCTGGTCACTACTCCTACAGTTTGAAACTGTTGCTTAAGCGAAAGGCCAGTCCCTGGCCACTCCGTTCAAAGACTCCAGACACAGACATGTCCAATTCAGTGTTTCTCAACCACGGCCCATTTTGTTCTCCTTCTCCCGGCGACAGGTGGCAATATCTAGAGATATTTTTGATTGTCACAATGAGGGTGGAGGTCCTACCGTCAGCTTGTGGGGCAAGGCCAGGGTTGCTGCTAAACACCCTACAATGCGCAGGGTGGCTCTTCATCCCCAACAACAAAGAATTATCTGGCCTCGATATCAATAGTGCCAAGATTGAGAAACCCCCATCTAACTCAATATTGGGCAACTGTGAAATGGTTCAACTTTTTTGAAGCTTATTCTCCATCCCACTCGTGTATCCAGGGTTAACTGGTGATTAGAATGAAATTCAAGTTTCTGACTTGCTTTACACCATTGTATCAAAAAGTTTGAATAGGTGTACGTAAGTCTCTCTATTTACACTCTGTCGGTCTCCAGGGAATGGAGCCAACTGAGCATTTTAATGTTGGATTCAACTGCAGCAGAGTAGAATTCTTCTTGGTCAAATAAATATCTCTGATTTTCTTTTCATTGGGTCTCTACAACTGGTTCCTCACCTTTTGGTCTGATTCGGGTGATTTGTTCTAAGTTTAGAAAAGCTCATGCTTAAGGTTGAATCACCGTACCCCATCTCTTAAAACCATTCGATCAGACAGGTCCTCCATTATATTGGAAGGGACTCTAGGCAGCCGGAAGTCAGGAAACAAAGCAGACAGTGAGGGGCATCAGATGGTTTTCTAGGCAAATGAGGAGGCAGCTGCTAAGCTGGACTGACAAGAACAAACAATCAAGGGGCCAGGGACACACATATCCATTTAATACCATAGATAAGAACCTTGGAGGATTACCATTTTTTTTTAAGATTTAATTTCTTTATTTGACAGACAGAGATCACAAGCAGGCAGAGAGGCAGGCAGAGAGAGAGGAAGGGAAGCAGGCTCCCTGCTGAGCAGAGATCCCGATGCGATGCGGGGCTCCATCCCAGGACCCTGGGATCATGACCTGAGCTGAAGGCAGAGGCTTTAACCCATTGAGCCACCCAGGCGTCCCAGAGGATTACCATTTTTTAGTATAATTAGAAGAATATGTCTTCCTCCAATCACCAATACACAATATAGAATAATAAAACAACTGAAAGGGTCAGAGCTATATAGCAAATAGGACACCACCCAAAGCAGTCTTTACCATCACATAGTAATGTTTTTATCAAGCTGGTAAAATAACACCATGAGATGACCTACTACAGATGTCATGATGTATTTTAAGATAGCTCTCTTAAATTCCACTGGAATTTAGGAAACAATTTGGAATAAATGTATCCAAAGAAAAAATATTACTGATTCTCATAGGAAGATATTTTTTCCCCTTTTTCTTTTATATCTCCTTGACATTGACAGTGTGACTAATGTACTCAGTGGTATGGGAAATCCTCAAGGCAATGACATCACAGTATGTGATTTTTCCCTTGTGTACTCAGGAAAGTCAAAGTTCTTTTGTACACTTAAAGAATCAAAAAGCCTAACTTGAAATGGGAATAGTATCCAAAATAAACAAGTTGTAATATTCTCTTTCCCCCTCAACCCAGCCTTTCCCCCTGTAGTTTTAAAGTTTGGAATTAGGTTGTCATAATAGTCTGACTTTCATTTTTAATTAACTAGTTATTTAGAAAAGAAAGAATGAAAGAAGAAACTTGCTGTGTATTAAAACCATTGATGTGTAGTTTTCTTTGGGTTCTGGTGTTTGATGAAGTGCTTTACATTGGGTTTTTTTTGTTGTTGCCAGCAGCTGAAATACCTACTAATGCTTTCTGGCTCTAAAAGAACTGCACAGCATTGGCTACATATGTTTACCATTATCCACAGAACTGTCAGACCCTTTATTCCAGAGGAGGCATGCATGGAAATAGGCCAGGACGCAAAGGAACACAGTTCCGGTAGTGAAATTAGCAACTGGACAACATTCCCAGAGAAGCGGCTGAGTTCAGTTCTGGCAAAAATCCCACTGCTGCTGGTACCAAAAGGAAAAAAAAAAAAAAAGTAGAAGAAGAAGGAGAAGAAAAGAAATTATAAGATAAAGAAACACAAAAGATAAAATTTATCTAGGGAATAAAGGGTGGGTGGATATATATGATTTGCACAGCCGATCGAAAAGTAATTCTGATAATTCTTTCCATTTATGCTAAAGTTTTGGTTATTGGGTGATTTCTGATTTTGAAATGGCAAAATGCTTTTCTGAACCTGGATTATATGTGACAGTTTAACACTTAAGACTGGCAAACTTTTCACCTTTGAAGAGAATTTTAAAAGGTTATCCCCTTACTGTGGTCACAGGGTTTAAAAGCCATCATCATGATTGAACTAAATTGTGACCATTATTTGTATTTCCCCCAATCTGTATCCATTCACCAAAACAACTATGGTGAAGTAGAAAAAAAAGTCTATTTCTCAGTATAATTTATAAAATATTGGTAGGGTAACTTGAAATATGGATAATCAATACAAGATACGTTACCAATAATTTATGGTATTTCTTTAGTGTTTAATTAGAGGTTACTAGGTAACATGGATGCATTTGTAACATATTGCTGAATTTTCAAAATATTAAGGAGGGCCTTTTGATATCACAAAGCTTGTTGGGGAGCAGGTAAAAATCCATAAATTTACAGATCTGTATCACCATAATACAAAATGTATCTTGGCCTTTCAGACGCCACTAAAAATACTATGTGCTAATCATTGTAGATGTATTATTTTATTTAAGCTTAGCAACAATTGCTGAAATAGGTTTTATTATCCCTTAAAAGGTAAGGAAATTGAGGCATGAAGACTTACATAAGAAGTATTTGCAGAGCTAGAATTTGCACCCTGGTCTGTCTGACTCTGAATCTACATTGTAGACTCAATAAACCCATTTCCCCTTCTTTCTGGACCCACAGCTAGACTATATTTCCCAGCCTCCCTGGTATTTAGATATGGCCTTATGACCAAGTTCCAGGCACTGGGATGTAAACGGAGGATTTTACCATTTCCTTGCAGTACCCTCTTTTACACTATTGCTTTGAGGCAAATATGTGTGGACACCTTTGATATTTTGAATATGATGGAGGCACAGAAAAAATGGTCCTGGGCCCCTATGTTGACCCTTGAAAAAAAAAGAAAGGCATCTGCCAGTCAGATACATCTATTTTGGAATTTATGTCAATGAGAAAAAACTTCTGTTGTATTTGAACCATCATACATGTTGGCTCTTTGTTATAGCTGCTACACTGCTTTGCCTGTATACAGTATTGTCTGTGTATGATGGTAATAGGTCTTTCCTCATACTGAAAGGACTCAGAGAAGTCCATACAAATGGGCAAACCTGGAAATAACTTTTACATAGAGACCTGAAGAAAAGACATGTGAAGGAACAAGGAGACCCTTCATCAACTCTTTTAAAGAAACTTGCATTCAGAAAAGACATCTCTTATTTTTCCAAATAATCAACAAACAACTCAAGAGTCATAAAAACAACTTCTGGATATTTGAAAATTGGATATACTGTGTGAAGACCAATACTATGTACATATTTCTATGTACATAGAAATACTATGTACACAGTGATTTTTTTCCAACTCTCCCCCCTTGGATAATTATTTTTTTTAAGATTTTATTTATTTATTTGACAGAGAGACAGCAAGAGAGGGAACTCAAGCAGGGAGGGGGGAGGAAGAAGGAGAAGCAGGTTCCCTGCTGAGTAGGAAGCCCGACAGGGAGCTCGATCCCACATGACCTGAGCTGAAGGCAGATGCTTAACTGACTGTGCCACCCAGGTGCCCTTGGATAATTATTTTTATATGATAGATTTTACTTGAAAAACTCAGAAGGCAAGGGAAAGGAAATCAAGAAGCCCCATGATCCCTCAATGGGATCATTTAATTCGAGCAAACAAGAGTTGCTTACAATTAAATAAAATTTTCAAGCTCTTAGGGATATTATACTTCACTTTTATAAATTCTGGTGATCAGGCATGAAATTGAACTTCTCTAAAAATCAACATTAATGAGCTTTCAGGGTACTTATGTTTGTATGAAAAAACATCCCTAAAAACCTACATTTTTGTGCATCTATTTTAAAATGTATTTAAAGAAGCCCTTGGGATAATGCTGGAGCTTTATAGGATTGTCATAAAAATACTGTATGATCTAAAGTGAAATCTTAATGTCTGCAAGGAGAATAAAGCTGTTCTAG